CCCCTATTTTATTTTTTATGTCATGTTTCAACAACCAATGCATGGTAAACCTCAATGAAGTTTAATGAATTGTTAACCTAGTGAGAGGATCTATCATTTCTCCTGAGATTAATTTATTTGGGTCGTACAGATTCCTTCTAAAAATGAACTCTACATTGTGGGTATACTGCTACCTTCCCAGTTTCTTTTAAAACAGATTGAGGAGATAAAAGGATCAAGTATTCAAACACAGACAACTTTACTCCATAGCATATACCGTGTATCACTGTGTTGTTTGCGGGAAAGAAAACCTCTATTCACCATTGGTTACCTTCCATTTCTCATATGATTCTTTTCTTGTATGGTGTATTACTACCACTTTTTTTTCTGTTTGTTATTTAGGTCATAGGAGCTAAAAGAATCTGAAATCTGTAGGTCATTTTCCAAACTTACTGTAATGAGTTAATTTTGACATTTTAATCTTGTGAACCTTTTTTCTAGGACTGATGTTGAGCAGTGAAATGGAATGATTAAGATTTCATGTCCTGTTTGTTCCTGGACTCATTTGGTGAAATGCAGTAGAAGTGATTAAAGAACAAATGTCAAGAGGCCAGGGAAAAATAAAACATAATAGAATCAGCAAGTTTGTTAATTTTCATACATTTTTTCCTTATTGGCTACTCTTTTTTTTTTTGTTTTGTGGAACCAGGGATTGAATTCAGGTCCTTGCTCTTGCCAAGGAAGCACTTATTCCACTGAGCCATCTCCCCGGCCCTACTCTATTTTTTAATGAATAGTTCATTTTTATATTTTCCCTGCTCTTTTACTCATTTTTATTTTGGAAAATTTTAAATCTGTAGAAAAGTTGAACCAATAGTTCGATGAGCACCCACTACTCTTAGTAGATTTGGTAATTAACATTTTGCCACATTTATTTTCTCATTTTAGTTTTCTGTCATATTTCTTCATATGATTTTTTATATAAGCTATTTTTATGTAAGCTATACACTTTATAACATATCAGCATGTAAATCCTAAAAAGTAGGGCAGTGGACATAACTCAAAACCATTATCACAAGAAATTTTTTCCCATAATTTTATTGAGAAATAGCAATGAGACAGTTTCAAATCAAATTGGTAAGATAGTTCCAATAATTAACACATTGCATACTGCCTTCCTAGTGGCTATTTGTTGTGCAAAGTGCAGACATGATATCCTATTTACAAATACTGTTAGAATAAATCCCTCTATTCCTTGAATTAAGAGAATGTAGCTATATATCTATCCTAACCATTTTGAATACACAGATACAAAATGGTCGTTCATCTATATCCCCTTTTTTTTGTTTAGTTCATCATTTAAATATTATAGGTGTATGAACTCAGCAAAATATTCCAAAATAGTCTAGTAGTCCATAATAGTACTGGGTCTTCCACTTGATTGACCTGAGTCCCCTACAGCTCAACATAACAACATGGCTTTATTTCTTGTACTTCATTTTTATACTTTTCTGTTGGATGGTTAAGACCAAGATAAAGCAAGACCTATGCAACAAGAATTGCAGCTTTTGAATCTACTAAGGTCAATCAAATCCCCTCAGGCTTTATCCTGAGACTCTGTACCTCAGATTGTAGATCCTTTGTCAGTGTCAGCCATGTGGATTAGTCACGGCCATTGCTTGGCCAATGTGCTCTCTGTGAAAGCCTGAGAGAATGTTTTCTCTCCATGTGAGTCTCCTCAGGCACAGTCTACATTATTATTCATTTTTCTCTGTGGCTCCATAATCTCCTTGATCAGAAAATTTGGGATACAACTGAGTTACATAATATTACAGTACAGGTTCTCATATGTCCTGAGTCCTAATTGGAAGGCTAGGGCCAAAATGTTGGCTTTCCTTGTGGCCCTCCTTTTTCTCTAATTTTTGGTCTGCGAACTTCGGTTGTTAACCCTCCAGAAGACAAGCTTATTGTTATTACCATATAACCTAGGCTGTTGAGCTTAGCCTCACTATCTTTCTGAATATCAAACATTTTAGGCATAACATGGAACAGGTATTTTTCATAAAGTATTGATATATTAAACTTTAAGTCCCTACAGAAATGACAAAAAATTAAAATATATTTAAAAAATAAGAATAAAGAATTATATATGTTTACATGTAAGTCCAGAAATCTAACCCTATACAACATTGTAGCAGGACAGTCCTGCAATACTCTTTTTCCTGTCTCCTGCCTTCATTCACCACCCCCTTTTTAAACAGTCATCTACCTGAGAGACAGCACGGCAGCCACTGGCGTGTCATGACAAGCAGCCCGTATTCAGAAGACCAGAATGACAGGTACTCCAAGCATGAACCTACTATTACAAATTGCCATCTTCAGTGCAGTTGCCTAGTTCACAGGTGTCAGTATATATAGTTAGGGTGAGAATTCTTCCAGTTAACTGCTAGATTCGAAAATCTTCTGAAGATTCTCAGGACCATTGCCTTACCCATCTTGTACATATAACTGTATGGCTTGCCTCTGTCATATTTCCTAGCTCTTCTTCTTGCACTTTCTTCATTGTCTAGTCCTCAAGTTCTTGCTTTCCTTTCAATTGTATTATACCTTTCTATTTATATTCCTTCTTTTGAGTTCTTATACTAGGGAGACTATACGATATTTACACATGTGTGTCTGGTTTATTTCACTTATGAGTGTATCTTCAAGTGGCATCCACTTCAATAAAAAGGCTTCGAGTTTATCATTCTTTATAGTTGAGTAATACTCCATTGTATAAAAATACCACATCTTTTTCATCGTTCCTCAGGTGATGGGCATCTTGGTTGTTTCCAAGATTTGGCT